TCTATAAGATTTATCTCCGTAGATTGATCTGATTAAACTTTTGAGGAATCATTGACGTTTTCCCAAGTATAACATTACTGTCGTCTATCTAAAAGGAGGACGAGTTGACCGAACATCTACTTTGCAGTTGTCCCATGGCTCGCAGTCAGACTGTTCTCCAAAATAGATCTAATATATCCTGAGACGACTAATTATATTAAATCTTGAACATTTTGTATTTCCTCTTTCACAGTGTGTCAAATATTCTCGGCAATTTTGGAAAGAATAAAATATTTTTTGTCCTCATTGCCTGCGATTATTGATTGCCAAAATTTAAATTTTCAATTTCCCACTTAGTATTGTTTTGTAAACAACTTTGACCATGACAGCAACTATGCAATGGTTTTGTGAGGGAGTTTGGCATTAAGAAAAAGGCGCCTTGTGTCTATTATGTCACTACCATGCCGAGCGTTCTCTGCATAGCGAAAAGGTTGAAGGTAGCTGTAACCACAGTCAATGTCTTACATTCCTTGCACACAAATATAGATTTAGTCAGACACGTATTTGATTTGAATGTATGTTAGTTGCAATTTAAATGTAGGTCATACAACGACTTTATTAATTTCGATCGATATTTAACATGTTTATAGAGTAAGTGATGCAAATGCTGTATAGGCAGGTAATGTGGTACAGTCCCTTTTTTCATCTATCTATACTAATAAAAGACCAGACGAAACGCCTGGAGCTAGAATCTTGAAATTTAGGGCGAGGGTCACTCATGGTCCGAAGGTGTCAGATAAGGCTGAGTAGGTAGTTTTATGAATTCGTACTTGTGTGTAGTTAATGGTACTAAATTTGAGTTTAGACTCCTGAAATTTGGAGTTAGGATTCCTGTTGAGGTGTAGGATTGGTGTACGAAAAGTACAATGATACAATTTAGATTTAGGTGTACCGATAGAACTGGAATACTAAATATTTGGAATTAATATTACAGTTTGAGTGTAGAATTGAGGTAGGTCAACAGTTTTAGAAATGAGTACTAAATAGTACTAAATTTGTTACAATTTGGACTCAGGGTAAACCGATAGGTCTGGATTCTGAAATTGAGAAATAACGTTTCTATTGCAGCTGGGTAATAAAACTTCCATTGGATTGCATGATGTAGGTGGTAATGAAAATGGGTATTTATGTGTACTAAATTGTACTAAATGAATGAAGAAAGCAATGATAAATTTAATTTATGTAAGTCACGTTTAGAATCAGTAATAAATATTAAATTTTGAATGAAATCGACTTTTTTGGATGAAACTAAAAACTAATTTTTATACATACATGAGTAATACAAATCAGAAAATATGTGCAATAACAACAGATACTCATCAATTTAGGAATAATACACATTTCTACAGTAAACTCAAGTGCATGTAATGTCGTATACTTTGAGTGAATTTAAAAAAAGCGCACACAGGAGGAAATCTCATTACTCCTTTGTAGATTTGTCCGTACCAATTGCGAAAGCGAATCGCAAGGGATGAAAAACGAAGGCTACAAGTTCTAATAAAAAATTAAATATTGATATACATTGATGAGGTTATGCAATTTTAACCTGATTAATTCCTCATCATATTACCCAAAAGTACACAAAATTACTCCAAATAAAGCAAACGTAGCATCATTGGACAAGTATATGTCAGTCGGTGTTTATCCTCATTTGACATAGTCATTGAAAAAATTCTATTTGATAAGCCACAAACATATTTGTCCGTACTAATTGCGAAAGCGAATCGCAAGGGATGATAAACGAAGGCTACAAGTTCTAATAAAAAATTAAATATTGATATACATTGATGAGGTTATGTAATTTTGACCTGATTAATTCCTCATCATATTACCCAAAAGTACACAAAATTACTCCCAATAAAGCAAACGTAGCATCATTGGACAAGTATAGGTCAGTCGGTGTTTATCCTCATTTGACATAGTCATTGAAAAAATTCTATTTGATAAGCTACACACATATTTTGAGAATAATAATCTAATGTACAGTCTACAGTTTGGTTTTAGAAAGAGCTGCTGAACGGCAGATGCTATTTTTAACATAAAACACACAATTTGCAGCGGCTTGACAATGGTTTTAGTGGAGTTGCTGGTATATTCTTTGATCTCATAAAAGCTTTTGATCTTTTAGATCATGGCATTTTGATTGAGAAACGGGGTACTATGGAAATCAACTTAATGAATTATTGTTATTTAAAAGTTATTTATCAAATAGGATGCAATATGTGCATATTTGCGTCAACGACGCAAGAATCATTTGGGTTCAGTCAATCTTGTGGTACCACAGGGCAGTGGGTTAGGTCCATTATTGTTTTCAATCTTCTTAAATGATTTACACAACCTTTGCCTAGATGGTAAATTAATAATGTTTGCAGATGACATATGTTTACCGCATCCATATAAATTCGACACTGAATTGAGAACCTGAATGAAACGTGACGCAGCCTTAGTGATTGAATTTACAAGGCTAAACCGCCTACTGCTTAATCCCAGTAACACTGAGATAGTAAGATTTAGACCCCAAGCACCAGAAGGTACTTTCTATTATCTAGGTATTATCTAATATCGTAAAGGAGGTACGGAGCGTTAAATATTTAGGAGTACTACTTCAAAATGATCTTTCATGAGATATACATATCAATAGTCTAAAAACCAAAATAGCTCCTGCAATGGGATTTTTTTTTATAAAATGCAAAATAAACTAAATTTAAGAGCCAAACTAATGATTTTGAGTCACTAATTCAATTTCACTTGAATTATATAGCAGTAGCGTATGCCAATAATAAAAACAATGCACTCTTGAAGTCTTTACAACGTATGCAAAATAAAGCTTTTAAGACAATATATAAACTTCCATTGACATATTCCACAATTTCATTATACAACAACATAGCTCCAATAACATTACCGATAAATGTCGAACTAATTCAAATTCATTAAAACCAAAAAAAATAAATAATACATCAATTACAAGAGAAAATTATACTATACCACATTAACATCATAGGGTATACAACATTACCTGCACAATTTTCAAAATCACCTTTGATAGAATTTTAATTATTTTCTCAAATATCTTAAATTGTGGGTATAATATTATTTTCAAATTGATTCATGGTATTGTCTTTCCATGAAGCATGTTTATTGTAAAATTAGAACATAATCGAAAAAAAAACAGTTCACCCAAGTCACAATTTCTGACCGATTGAGAAAACATTTTGCACAACGCATTGAATTAAATACAAATTAACGTTTTCGATGTTTTGCTGAAATCGGTTTTGATTAAGTACTGATTGATCTTTGGTTGATATCGGTTCAGAGGTAGATATAGCTCTCATATAAAATGTTGCCCGGTTTTATGTAAATGGTGCTCCAAACTCTAAACACTCTTATCATATGAACAATCATATAAGATAGTATATAGCAAACCTGCTGTTGACTTGCAGCATATTTATCACCAACGCCAGAAGGAGTGGACCAAATCCGTTTCGGACAATTTGGAGTAGATTTACAAAGGTCCGTCCGTCTGGCCGGCTGGTGCGCATCGTAGTATTTTTACCAAACTTAGTTCAAGTTCGAAGATGGGGAATATCGGTCCACTCCTTCTGGAACCTCCCCCCAAAAAATGGACAAAATTGTGCTAGAAATAAATTTCAAAAGATTCAAAAATTCATTATTTATAAATCCAACATCAGGCGAAGGGACTATCCGATGTCAACCAAACTTTGCACAACCTATTATTCTTACCAAGCCTAGATCAAGTCCTAAGGTGGGACCCGCCTGCCCTCTCCTCTGGTACCTAGATTTGATCAACATTAAATCCGAAACCTCTTTGATAAAAACATACCGTACATATACATACCGTATATATCTGTTTTTTATGTTTGTACATAAACATACATTAATATAAACAAAATTAAGGTAGTCAGTTCAGGACAGTTCTTGAAATTTCGTTAACATTGCATTCCAATGTTTCCGCAATATTTTTGTATTCGAGACATGGACAGAAATACAAAACTGAAACGATTTGGCTCCTTTATTTCTACCGTATAACCTATTTGTGATTATTATGACCTGTCCGCCTCGTGACGCAGCATTTGTCATGTCTGTTGTTGCTGTTGTTTAATGTGTCTGCTTTGGGCAGATACAAGTGGCTATAGCTAATATTTGGCGCCTTGTAAGTTCGCTTCCTCGCCATTCTTCGACACTAGTACTATCTTATATTTTGCCCGGCTACATGCAAAATAAAAAGACAGACTAGGAGTTATACATCAACTTGCTCATCGTTTGTATACTCGTGTGCCCAATCCCCACACGATGACATTGAAATTTCACACATATACACATATGGCTGTACTAACACGTTGTTAAGATCCCCTTAACAACAGCAACACGAATTATGGAGGGTTGTCGAACGTCGCCATCCATACTGCCTTGGTATTTGGCGACTTGTCTCGGGGGATGGCTCTGTATTGTCTGTCGACATTTAGATGGCAGACTGGCTATCGTATATCCAGAGAATAGAAGCTCGCAAAGAGTTCCTACATGAGTTGAGTGTTGTCCTTAATTTTAGTAGTTTATTAGCGCTGTAGCGGCAAACACTCACTTTCGCTCCTTTCGGTGTCCTTTTACTAAACGAAACCTAATACGTGGTGAACTCTGGCTAGTGCTGTGTGAGTTAGTTGGGCGAATGGAAAATAGTTGACTCGTAACTCACAAATGGCTAAAAAGTGCACCGATGACAAAGCCAATAATTGTTAATTAAAGCCTTCAAATTTGTATGTACCACGCTGCGGTGCCACCCGCTTCTGTTGCACCTGCAGTCTAATATTGAGTTTATTGATTGGCGCATTCATTCTATATTTAGCACAATCTACTAATATTACAAAATATAAAGAACCATTCTCAAGCATAATAATAGTGGTCGTACTTCTGAAATTGTCATCACTCAGTAGCTTCTGGCTATGACATTTCTTTCTCCATCGCTGAAATTAGAAAATTTATCTTCAAAACCCATTATGAGTTTGGACCACTTGCCGGAAGAAAAGCGTTATAACAAAAACAACATTGCGGCGAAATGGTGTGCCCCCATTAATGGTAAAATGTATCGCATTGAACTGGAGCATGGCACTACTAGTGGTCGTCGCATGATTTGGGTTAATGGAAAGGTAATGGACGTTCTGGATGTATTTTAAAACATTGTTAAACCCAAAATTCATTGTATTGAAATTAATTCGAAATATTACTTTTTAATGAAAACCGTCAACAACTTCGACTGGCCGTATTTGCACCCTAGGAAGTTTTAAGACGCGACTGGATGTTTAAACTGGTCGGCGAGGACACATTTTACATTGAGCAGGCGCGATGTATTATACGTGTAGATCCGGCACCGGGATTCAAGTACGAATATTTGTTATTCATAGATGGAAAACCACTTGACCAATACACCGATGAGCAGACCAAACAATATCGGCTATGGGTGACAACAATTAATGGTATTCAGTATAGAATTATGCTGGAATTAGACACTTTAAATCTCTATATAAACGATGAGCTGTGCAAGGACACGGTAACTATGTGAATTCATACTCATTTTCCCAGAAAGCCTATCTAAGTTGTCACCAAGGAGCATTACCATTTTAGTGAATCCTTCGGTATCGATGACGATTAGGCATCTGCAATAATTTTTAAACACTCCAAGCCTTATTTAACCTTCTCCAAATATTGATTTTAGGCAGAATTCGTCGATGGTGGGACCGATACAACCGTTTACCACAATGACGTTGAATTCATCTTGCAAACCCGATCGAGTGGCAATAAACACAGCGGAATCCGCCACACCCTTCTGGCAAATCACGTCGAAATACCCGAAGCCAAAATCCAGGAAATCATCCAGGAACCTTGTTCCATACTCTCAACGTAATTACAGATATACGCACATTGTCTGTTGCGATCAACTACACCGATTTTCAATGGATCCTTCAACGACAAATGATTTAAGAATTTAGCAACTTATCGGCTAGTAGAATCTCTAAACACACACACACACATACTGATGTAAAATTATTATTTTTCAATTTTATCTATTCAAAGAGATTTAGCGAGCATAATCTTAAGAATTTGCGGGCGTCTAGCCAGAACTATAATATATTCCGTATAAAATAAAGTTACTGTATATTTGCAGTGTTTTTAAGGTATATCCAAAATGTCATCACCTCGCGTATACAAAAACTTGAACCGCTTTCGTTGTTTGCACACATCACAACCAATTAGTTTTATGTGTACCAACAAGGTATCCTCGCCATCACTCCAACGCCCATTGTACTCTGGTATTTTAAAAGATACGCTACCCTCCTCTTCAACACGTATATCTGTGGCAAAGGCTTTCCAGTTGCTATCATCATGGAACTCAATGCGAAATTGATGGGATTGAAGACATGATTTTTTGAGCACAAGCGTGTGTTCGGATCCGCCAATGGCATGTCCTATAAATGGCTTCAAAATCTGGCTATTATTGGAGTCATATATTGGACTGGAATACACGGTATCGGTATACTTTTCCATACGTTTACTGCTGCTGTTAAATGTAAAGGCGGTAAATCCAATGTGAACCTAAAGAAATAATACAAAATGTCATTGACACGTATAGCCCCTCTAATTATCTAAAATGGCCAAAGAACTACAGAACTTACCTTTTTTATTGATCGATTGGCGTCACAACAATAAGAATGGACTGCTCCAGCCAGTTGTCTTTCTTCGTCATCGGTTAATTGGGAACGGCCTGTTTCCCATAACTGTTTGTAACGTAGTTTCGTTAAAAAGCACATAGCAAACTTTTTCATCGGTCTGCTAAAAATATGTAAATTCTGTAAATCACAGCTAACGAAAAACTCGTCCTCATTATCACTCGAATGAAGAATTTGCAAAATTTGCATTGGCTTGAAATTAGTTGCATCAAAGCCATGCGCAACAAGAAAATGCGGCGACAATACCGGCTTTGGAAAAACTTCACTATACAAATCACACATTATATAAACATCTTGTGGTGGTTTAATATTTAGTACTACTCTGCTTTTCAACGAAGCCGAACATGCAGATTGACTTTGAAAAATGAATTTTTGAAATTTTGAAGGTTCAATCGCGACATATAAGAACGGCTTAAACGGGAGAGATAAGGATGAATTGATGTCCATTTTAATGTCCTGAAATTGTAAGAACCTAAATATTGTATGGTCGTTTATTAATATACATAAGAGCCTCTTAATACACACAACAAAAACACAATACTGGTTTAAGTCGTCATACAATGATGTATCATAGCATCCAAGGCATTTTACGCAACCGCACTGCAAGCTATGTCGTCGTTTTTCTTATAAAACTGTCTGGATACTCGATATATTAGGGTTGTAGGATAGATTTTCCAGTAAAAATTACTCAGTAACTTACGTTGAGTTTGCTCTCTCACGTTAAAATATTGAACAACGTTTTCGAACAACATCCTGTCAAATCCAGTATGTATGCGTCAAAATCAGGGTGCGGAGAATGATTAAAATACACTCTTTCTCACGAATGCTCACGGCGAGAATTCGAATGTTTTTCAATTTGTCGCGAATGATAAAGTTACAATGAATGAACAAGCATATGCAATCTCTAGCGAATGTTCGCATTGCACGAACAATTCGCGTGCATTCTTTGCTGAAGAACATTTTTTTGAAAAACACAAAAAACAAATGTTCGCGAATGCTCTCGAGCACTGTTAAAAACAACCACAAACAAACATATCATAAAAAAGTAAACACATACAACGAATGAATGTGTGTGTAGCAGAAAGTGTGTGTAATAACAAAACACATGTCCAACAATTATTGAGTTCACGAAAGATTGTTGTTATTGTTGTTGCTGTTTTGAGCATTCGAGAGAATTCGGGAATGTTTGTTTTCATTCGTGAGAGAATGTCAGAAAAAATTTCAACCAAACGAAACGAACGAACGTTCTTGTGTGCTCTCATTCGTTTGTTATGTGTGTGCGAACATTCTTCGGCGAATGCTCGTTTGGTAAAGAATTTATCGCCATAAATTCATTTGTAACATGACCACAAAACGAAAAGAATGTATTTTGAATCATTCGCGAGCAAATTTTTGCGCACCCTGCTCATTTTTTATGTATGTGTGAACATTCTCTTGGCGAATGCTCGTTTGGTAAAGAATTTATCGCCATAAATTCATTCGTAAAATGAGCACAAAACAAAAAGTTTTTTTTTATTCATTCGCGAGTGAATTTTTGCGAACGCTGCTCAAAATTGGAAGTTACTGAGCAACTCGATACAAAATAGCAATTGTCATTTATGAAATTAGTATATCCAAAATCATGGTATAACTATATAAGGTAACGACAAGTGGTTGTACAACAAACGATACAACAACCACATGGAAATTTGTTTTTTTTTTAAGTTCTAAAAAAATATTTGTTACAAAATATACATAAATATTTTGAAATCCTCAAAATAAAATTGAAAAACATGAATGAAAATCGATCAATTTTATATTTTTATCGCTTCCACATAATTCCTCTAATTGAGTCATTGCCACTAATATGTGTAGCACATACGAAAATGCTGAAAATGGTGAGTTATTTCGTGAAGAAAGATTTGCGTTCTTTAACCCTCCAGAAGGCATATTGAGTAAATTGAATTCGTGAGGACATTTAATAAAGAACAATTTATAATTGTGTGTGTACCCAATTTTCCTGTTGGGCCATTTTTAAAAACATAATTTGTCATATTCATATTGACTCCAGTATTACGTTGGAATCAAATCAGCTGGGTTTTGTCTGTTAACTTTTAAAACTGTACCATGATCCAAAATAATAAAAACATTCAGAAGAAGGTCTGTATAAGATCGGACAGTAAGGACAGCTGAGTAATAGGTTTGCTGTCAAATCATATTTTGACTTATGCATACATACAAAATTATGTTTGATTTTAAAACGACAATATTAATATTTTGTCAACATTCAATTCCATTTTAATTTATATCGTTCTTTTGAAGCACATTTAGACTATTTCAAGATATTAAAGAACAAATTTATAGTACGTTTACATTTAACCGGATTTCGTTAACCCAGTGGGTTTCAATTGTCAAATCTTCATAAAGTAGGTTAACCCGGCCAAGAGTTCTAATGTATATGCCGTTTTTTGAACTGTGTTGTGTTTTGTTTTTTAAAATATTAAAAGGCAGCAGTTTTCTCTATAAATTCGCTTATTGGCCGACCTTATATAGGCCTTGATTCAGATTATTGCTAGAAATCAAGGTCTATATATTAGGTCATCCAATAAGGCCAGCTAAAATCTATATATTTTTTTAATTCTACATTTTCGGTCAAAAGTTGTTGTGGAGAAAATATCATAAGAAAATTCGAAAAGTACAAAATAAATCAAAACTGTTTAAATATATTTTCGCCGCAACAACAACTTTTGACCGAAAATGTAGATACAGGGTTGTGTATTTGCTGGAATTCGGCTTCTGGATGACATGATATTTTGAAAAAAAAAAAATACATTTGGCATCAAAATAACAAAAATTGGTGAAAACATTTTTCAAACATTTTCATCTGTGCCAATTGAAAACGGCAAAAATGGATGACACAATTTTTTTAACTGATGATGAGCCGCTTAACCAACGGCGAAACGCGTCGCATAGGCGAAGATCATTCACATTTACATGAATGATCTTCGCCCTAAAAAGGCATAAAAAACAAAAACTCGAAAAATGTTTGCATTTATAGAAAAACAAATATTTTCAAAAAACAAAAATTCCAAAATACACATTGTCAATGTTGACATTTTTCAACTTAATATTTTTATACGCAATGCGTATTTGGGTAACTTTCTTTTAAATATATGTATTTAACTTTTGAGGTGAATAAAATCGTACGCATACGCACGAATTTAGGTACGACCCTTACTGAGTAAGAATTTTTTAATACTCAGTAAACAATTGCTAAAAAATGTTTTCTCAGCTTGCTCTCATTTCCTGAACTTTTAAGATCGGTGAAAATTCGTTAAAAATTATTGGGTTATCAAACATACCCATTGTAACAACTGTAAAAATATTACTAAATGTTGTATTTCAGGTTTTACAGCCTGTTTTTGTAAAATTCTAAACGAAAGAATTCGAGTGACGTATGACCAAACTCCTTGGTTTTGAAAAATATGTCATTTATTTTTGTTTTGAATCAAGAAACATTTTTTTACATAAATAAAGGTTTGGTAGTAAACAGGCTGTTACATTAAACAATTTTAATTGCCTCAATTCTGTAGTTTCCTGGTGAGAGAGTTGAGGGGAATGACAGTCCTTCACTTCCCGCCCACAAACAATTGCGCAAGTAAAATTGTCTAATGTAATTTTGGTATATTTTAAACTAAAGGTTCAGTGAAGGATAGTGAATAAAGAGACCTGATTTGACTATAGTACTTACTACTAAGCATTTTTCAAATGTTTTTGAAAATAAAATAAATTACTCAGTAAAATTTCCATAAGTGTTTTTTAAAAATTTAAAATGTGTTGAATTTTTAGACTTCTTTTGTCTGCACTGACAAATGTGAGTGATTAGTACATGCAAAGATTAGATATTAAATGCAAATATCTATCACATGAAATATCCCACCTATTCATCAAAAATGATATACCTCATTTTTCTCTCTTTTGCAGTGTATGATTGGGATTCTATTTTGCATATTTCAGGGGCGAAATGGCTTTTATGACTTTCTTTGCGTACAATGTAGCGTTAGGGTAGCGTTACGCAAAAATTTCAGCAATTTAGAACAAAATTATGGAACATACAATTATAGAAGTTGTTAACAAAACTCAGCTCGTGTCAATATGAAAATGACAAATTATGTTTTTAAAAATGATCCAACAGGAAAATG